TAATAAGTGATTTAACGTGAAGAAGAACATTTTCTGTGGTTCTCCATAACAACATCACAACCCACATTCAAATGCACTGGTGGCAACACTTCAACGTTGGATATGAAGCTCAGTTGGACCGGCGCTGCCAACGTTACAACTTGATTCTTACAGTTTATAATGTGAATCGCGAGAATGTGAATATCAACTCGTTGCTATGCGCCTTTTTTTTGCTGTTAATCCAAAAAATACCACAGTTACACCGTTGAAAAGCTCATAGGCGATTTATATAATGTAACTAACGACACTTTCCCGATTTGTCGTCCCGTTTTCATTATACCGAATGTAAATCATTTCGAGGTAGTGGAAGGAGTTCTGTCGTGTATAGATAGGCGGTGCGCTCGGCCTGATGTTTAGCTCAGTCGGTCAAAACTTTTCTTGGCTGATACGCTACCGCGTATCTAGATTCAATGACCATTCTGATTTCCTATTTCAGGCGGGGAATACATTTTAAAACACGCATTCATTTTCGCAAAAATTGCTCATGAAAATGCCCATTCACGGTGCCCATTTTTTCAATACCATCTGTTGGCGTTCCCCTGGAAGTTTGTTCTCATTGTCAGTTGAGACTTTTTCGAGTTCAACTTTTTTCAATTCAAGTTTTTTCCCTAATATCTCTTTCGAAAATGGGATCTTTTTTATATCTTTTTTAACAAAAGATCTTACTGGATGTGAATTTAGCCGGCCGCACTGATCTGAATTTCACCATATAGACAATAATAAATAAGTGAGGTTGAATGTTGATGAAGGGTGCTATGGTTCAGAATTAAATAAAAATGTTTATTCTTAATCGGCGGATTCCTCGGGTCAATGAAAAAAATGTAATGGCACAACAAGAACACAATATTCAATCTAAAATACAAAATGGAGCTGAAGAGGGCTTGAGTATAAAATATTTTGAAGATAAAGGACGAGGAATGATTACAACGCAGTCATTCCTCCGAGGAGAATTTGTGGTTGAATATGCTGGTGAACTGATTGATTGGAAGTCTGCCGAGAAACGTGAAATAGAATTGTACGATCAAACGAACTTACCTGTAAGTGAAGTTCGATCGTGATTATATGAAGAGCCTCGTCGAGAGATTTTAATAACTTGTAGTAGTCCGCCTGCGGCTAGATGGAGCCACACGCCTTCAGAGACCATAGAAAAAGTTGGCTGTGGCACCTCGGCGTTGAGGGCTCGTCNGTGTCGAACAACAGTTAATTTTCTTTCATTTATAAAAATCCACAATTTTCCAAGAGTAGACTTTGTTAACGACAAAGAGAAACATTAACATCAGTCATGACACATGCACCTGGTACCAGGTGAAAGTAAAAGATCCTTCAAGGATTTAATATTATAATTTGTTTCTGAGATGGGATAAATGAAAGCAAGGAAGCAGAGTTGAACTATCTAACAGGGGAGACCATTTTACCATCGGTCTCACGATTGGAATTCTGCGAATTGTGACAAATTCGAAATTTATTCCCTGGCTAAACGTAGAGAAAATTTTGTCACCAATCAAGATTGAAAAGGTGTCAATCGACACTGCAAGGAGATTGCCGTGCTGCACGCATTAGAGATTGCGTTGGTATTTTGACAAGAGGGACAGAAAAGGTCCATTTTTGGATTGAAAAAATCCTGCTCACCTAAGTTTTGAAAAAACTTAGATTGCAATGTACAGCACCAGTATTCACTTTGGAAGGAATGTAAGATGCATTCGACCGAAGTCT